GCCATACCTCCTCTTCCCTATGGGAGCCAAAATAGGAGAGGGAGATGAAGGCAGGGAGGTGCTTGCTCTGCAAGCTGCCTCGCCCTGCCCTGCTGTGAGAGACGAGAGTCTATTGCCAGGAGGGGATTCTAGGTGGGGACACACGCCAGAAGTGGCAGAGAGCAGAGGCTGGGGCCGTAAAATCTGATGGCATCAGAGCTTTCAACTGCAGTACTTCACATACATGCCATGCTGGCTCCTCCCTGGCAACTGGCACCAAGAAAAACACAGTTAAAAAAAGATCCATCTCTCGTCGTCTGCCTCACCAGCAGTTCAGGCAGGTTTTGTTGCTTTCAACACTGGGGCAATGTTGGCTACTAAAATTCTCTCCACTTTAGTGATCCCAGACCATGAGTAGGAGCAGTCATTCACCTCAGACAAGCGTAGCATCATAAATCTGTTCAGCTGCACATTTTAGCTCTGTGGTGTCAGACAGGCATAATTAGAGCTCCAGAGTCCAAGTGCCACCACACTAGTCTTACAGCAGTGCAATTGCCCACGCTTTACGTGAGTCATCTGGTGGGAGAGGAGAATTAGGCCCAACATGTCTGGGCTGAAGCAATGATTTAATCAAACTGCTCCTTCCAGCTCTGACAAGTGTCTTTTTATGCTTCATGGTGTTTAGTTTGAAGTTGCCAGTTGGAATTTTTCACACCTGTGGTTTATTTAAGCCCTTATTCTGCTGTAGCTCTCACATTTAAGACAATAAATGTGTCCTGTAGAGCTGTGAAGTATTAGGTGAGGGACACATTTATGTGCGGGTGACGAGAATAAATGAATGATACATACAACGCTACATTTGCTATTACTTTCCAAATACAGACAACTGCTGCCCACGACCTCCCAACTCAGAAAACTGCTGTTAATCGCAGTGAGGAGTGCCTGGCTGAGTCCTCAAAGTATTCAGAGTGTGTGCTCTGGCTATTCATGCAAGTAAAATTTTCGTATCGTATATAAATATTGCCAGGAATGATCACATGGGCCGATTGTATTCATCAGGAACATTTAATGAGAGAAAAGGAATGACTTCAAATTAATGCCATCACACCCAAGATCAAAATCTACTTAACAGAGAGGAAATTGGAAAATATTTACAGAACAAAAATTACAAAAATAAAGAGGAAGCCCTCGCTGGAAAAAAAAAAAAAAAAGGCAGGCAATGCAAGCAGATCAGATGATAGAAGGACATTGCCATACTTGAAAAGTGGAGTTACAAAATAACCCAAAATAATTTCAGACAGTAGAGACAGTACAGTGGGCTTATCAAGATTTTAATCTACAAGTAAGCAGAAAAGGAATTTATTTAAGCATTAGAAATTATTAGAGTTTGTTAATCATTCATTTTCAAAAATTCTGGCTTCCTCCAGAAGTTTAAAGTTAACCAAAGAATAAGCAACTGTATCTATTAGAATTACCTTGGTTCAGACATGGTAGAGCTTCCATTGTCAGGGGCAGTAAGAGCCTAACATTTCCAACTTCCATTCTCAGTTGTTACAATTCAAAGTGGTTATTCAAAAAACAAATAAAAAAGAAAAATAAAGCAACATATATATTATCTTCTTATAGCATCTTCTTTTAAGGCATTTTATTCAGAACAGCTGCAGTCCCTACCACTTTCCATCAGTGTCCAGCTCGTCTTACTTGCACTATCAAGATAAAAGCTTTTTAGATGCACATGGCTGGACCTTGCATTTAAACAGGCCGTAATCTCCATGGCCAGAGATACCATGAATAATTGAAATACCAGGGAATAAATAGTTTCACTAACCGTGTTTTGCCTTAAATAATTGGAGCATCTGCTACATTTAATTAATTTGCTGTTTGTTTGCTCCATTGCATAATTAACTATTTCATTTCATTGCCCTCTGCATTTGCGCACTAATTAATTATCCCTTGCTAATTCATCGATCAGCTCCTTGTGCCTCGTCCTGCTTTTCTAGCCGTCATGTTTACCTTATTGTATCAGCCCTCCTCCCTTTTCTGTATCTTTTCTGTATCTTCCCAACTTCCATTCCTCTTTCTTTCCTCTTGTTTGCTGTTGCACACTCGCCTGCCTCAGTGGCGGGCCAGCCCAGCCTCTGTCAGGGCACAGCAGCCACCCCCAGACACAGTGGACATGGCCGGGCACCACATTCCCATGTTGGAGAGAGTGGGGACCTCACTGACAGGGTAAAAGCTAGTTGAAGTGTAATGAATCCCAGGAGACAGCACTATCCTGGTTACGATTAGTTCATTTCCAGTTATTAAAGTGAACATAGCTGGAGCGGGGAGACATGATTTAGGACAAATGCAGCTTGCAGTTGTTTGAAATGGGAAGGATTTAATGACTCGGGGACTTGCTGTCCCTAAGACAAACTGCACGCTGGCTGATACCTTAAACGTAGTGTTAACATTTTGTGGCATCCTGCAGGTTGCCAAAAACAAAGCTGTATGTACAATGTAACCAAAAATTATCTAGGAAATTAGATTCTGTGGGTACACCCAAATCTTTAGTCTTAAATAAATAACTAATGCCTAGAATACAGATTTTTTTCCTCTCCACTAAGAACTGCAGTGCTCCTTGTCCAATCAGGGCTCACTTAATTCTCCCAGAAGTCTTTAAACCTACTTCTACTAAGCATTTTGGATATTTTTTTTCTCACAAACTGCTTTTGTGAACTTAAACTGGCTGCTGCAACCCATTCAGTCAGCGAGGTTTGGGAGTGCGACGGTGACTCTGAATACAGTCTTCTAATGTTAGACTCTCATTATCTAAGTATAGCTGATAGATTTTATTTCTGTGAAAGCTTGTTTGGATTTCCGTCTGCTCCACTCTCTTCTGGTTTACATTTCTCGTCTGAATGCTGTCCAGAATCCGGTGCATACGCTACCATTCACCATATTGCTTTTTGCTAATTGCTCCCATATTCGGAGGAGTCACGTGTGCCAAATTGCTGAATTGTGACTGCACTTTCAGGCAGCTATTAGCACCTCCCCAAAGAGGCAATTAAAACTCCAAACAGTGCAGGGGCAGGAAAATTGCCTGTGAGAGGCTCTGGGGGTCATCCGGCATTCCTTCAAAAATGTCTTTTCTGTGCATTTGACCTTTCTAAAAGAGGGAACATTTTTACTGCTAAATTTTTGTCTTTCTTTCAGCAGACTGAAAAGCTGTTTCAGATGATCATTACTTGAGATGATCAGGCAATTTTCACTTTGACTGATGGCACGAGAGTGGCTCTTCATTTCATGCACGTGAGGAATGCCACTGACCTCAGCAGGACTGCGTACACCTTTGGAGATAAGTATGTAACCACATGTCTTGATGAATTAAGCAATTTTCCTTGAGATTGCTCCTACAGGTTGATATCACGCTTGGAAAGGTAGCTTAGGCAGCTAGATCACAGAGGTTCTGAAACAGAGCAAAGCGTGGCCTAGTTACTGCTAAAGTCTAGTCCTAATTATGGACCCTGCTTTCACAAAACATTGACAGGACAGAGCTTTTTGTTCCTATTACCAAATAAAAGGAACAAAACCCTTTAATTCAGTATTCTAGGTAACAACAGGTGAACGTAGCAGGACTAAGGCAAATGACATTTCTGGAAACACAAAGAACTTCCTGTGACTGAAGGAGCATCATTAAAAGTAGTAAGAACGGTGTTTGCAGAATTAGTTCAAACTATTGGGTCATATAGGAATTCATTTGGCTTATATATAACAGAGGAACTGGTGGGAAGAAAGAGGTAAAAAAGCTTTCTGCCCTGTGCTGATGAGAATCACAGAATAACTCCATGTCCAGTCCCGCATGGGGAAAGTGTCTCTGAGCCCCAGAGCACCCAGGCTGGGTTGTGTTTCCCTTCACCCTTCAGAGGAGCCCCCTATGGCTATGGAGCAAGCGTAGACTCCGAAAGTTAATATGTTCATCTGCCTTAAATGTCCACTGAAAGCATCTCCATACGAAGCTTCACTCACTTTACACCTGGACACACGTTTTTGGACATGTGTCTTCCATTTGAAAACCAGAAGGCTGAAAAATGCTTCTGGGTCCTTGGAGGAGGGAAGAGGAGGGAAAGGATGGGATGCAGCTTTTCCAGCATCAGGATCCCTGAACCAGTCCTGCAGTGGGGTCAAGTATCTCCTTCTTTCTCTAGAGCTCATTTTTATGAAGCATTATATTTACCCAGGCACCTTCCTACACACAGGGAACAGCTCAGGCCTGACAGCAGCCACATCTAAGACAAATTGTTCAGTGCTGAGTAAAGAGCACAATAAAACCCCAACAGCCCTTCGTACTCTAGTTTGCACCTTGGCAAAATAAGTGTTTCCATTCACCCCAGAGGTGGGATCAGCGATAGAAAATCTTTCCATAAAGATGAACAAAACCTTCAGGAAAAAGGGGAAAGGCTGTTTTTCAGTCAAAGTATTCCACTTCTCTGTTTTGAAAACTGGTAAGAGGGAGGACAGCACAAGCACTCAGCGACTGACAGGAAAGGTGAGGCGCTTCAGAGGTCAAATCATCCTGTGGCAGTGGAAATGTCCCTGCTTGCCAGGCATCAGCCGGCAGGTACAGCACATCCCGAGTTGTCCCCCCTCAGCAGGCCACCAGAGTCCCCAAGGAGGAGGACAGGCTGAAGTGGCTGAGGTGAAAAGAAGAGGGGTGGGTGTGCGGTCACCCTGTCAAGGCTGGCCTGCCCTCACAGCCTGAGCGCAGCCCGGGGGCAGTGGGGAGGAGTCAGTTATACCCAAGGGCCGCACGTTGGTCTCAGAGGACTAGGAATAACATCTTTGGCAGATTCAGCTCAAGTTTGCCAAATACTTGAGATAATTCTTTGTCTCTGGGATGGGTTTGTCGGTGACAGAATCAAGAGGAGCAGGAGTGTTCGTGCACCCCTGCTCTGGAACGAGTGTCCTCCATGGTGCATCTGCCAGGAGCCGCCGCTGCCGCCGCTGATCCCTTTTGCCGCCGCCTCCACCGGCCCCATGGAGGAAATGTCAAGGAGTGAGGAACAAGTGTGGATTTGTCTGGTTCACTGGCTTTGAGACAGCACCTGGCAACGTAGTGCGGAGACAGACGCGAGCCTTCAAAAAAATTTGGCTCTGGCCCACGGTGAGCGCTGAGCCCTGCTGGGCAGAGGGTCCAGGTGGTGGGTAGTTTCCTGAACGAACGTTTCTGGCATAAGGGGAACCTGGCTTAAAACAGTTCCGGTTTAAATCTCTTAAAGATGTATTTGCTGGGGGAAATAATTCCAGAGAGGGCTGCCTCCAGCCCCTTTGTGGTGGGAGGCCTGTCACGCAGGCAGAGGGTGACGCTGTGTGTTGTTCCTCCCTGGTTTCTGGCAGATTTCTATCCCGCCTCTTTGCCCCAACTCTTCCCTGTCCCTTGGTCATCAGTCCCATGTCTGGCTTGCTTTTCCCCGCCTTTCCCTGCCGATTCCTTCCTCTCCTACTACTTTGTACCAGCAAATCAAGGCAGGTGAATTTCTGAACTACTGGGGAGAAAATGGCCACTGGCACCAGGCCAGGGACCTCCCTCACCTCTGGCTGCACTCAGTCCCCGTCATGTCTCTGGTGGTGTTGGTGGGGGGGAGCAGCCAAGTGAAATGCTTCAAGCTGTGAGACATTTTCTGTTTACGTTGCAGGCCAAACCTCTTGGATTTGGACCAGAATGGCCACTTTTGTGGAGGCAGATATATCTGTGGAGGGAAGGAAAGTAGCGCGTATCCTGGTCATGCTGTTTTCCCAGAGAAAACAATTATGCGAGGTAATGCGCTTTCTGCTGCAGGCTGCGCATTGTCCTGCTTGGCTGGAGCAATGGCTGGGAAAGCTGGCATTGTCCCATAAATAGGGAGCAGCTCTCGGGTGCAAAAAGTTACCTCTGTACAAATGCCACGCTGCTTCAGATTTTCCTCTTGGGGGGCAGATTACTCAGAAGGAAGTAACAAGGCAAGCCTGGTGTCATGTGGAATAGCTGAAATTCCTCAAGTTCCTTTTTGCCAGGATTTCAAGCTGTGAAAGACATATGATCTCCACTGCTCAAGCCTATAACTGAGGATTTTCACCAACAGAGATGAATAGGTAGCTGCACAATTTCACTTAATTCTTTTTTTTTTTTTTTTTTTCCCTACATCTGCCAAAAGCCATAGTCAGTTCTGAGTTAAATCATTATTAGGGCCTGCATTTGGAAGCAGTAACCTGAGATAGGGTTTATCAAAAGGAATATATTACTCCTTATCCTCAGGAACTGATCTGGTCTATGATCATTTTCAGAGAAAAATACAATTAATTCAAATTCTGGCTGCTTTTCTGCCATTCACATTGTCACAGCACCCCTTGAAACTAGGGGTTAAGGTCCAGCGGCCTCAAATCTCTTATTGCTGTACTTGGTCACAGCCAAGGGCCAGTGACAAGGTGTATCTATAAACCTCTCTTGTATGTCTGTAGCAGGAGCTGCTGTCCATTTTCATGTTGATAGGCAATGAAGTTTAAGCACTGAACAGATTAATGCTGAGATATGCTGATTCATCAGAAGTAGATGATATGGGGAAAGGAGAAGCTTTACTCCTTGATACGTCAGTGATTTGCTAATTGTGCAGCCCAGTCCAACAGAGGGCACCTTGTTAAATGAAGAGGCATTGCCATTTTGGGAGAGAAGGCAGCTGTCAATAATCTGTGGAAAGTGGTATTGAAACTGCCCCTTAAATAAAGTTGCAGATCAACAGCCTTTGGAGAGGGGGTAAAAAGAATTGAATTTGGAAAAAAAACTGTAGGAGGCACCAAAGGAACACAGTGTAAATAAAGGTTAGCATGTTTTACCAAGAAGGCCCTATGACTCCGCTCTCCTTGAAAGAAAACTAAGTGTAATTTGCTTTGATTTGTCCACCCGCCATGGCTTTATAAACCTTTCTAATTCTTGTTTTCTATTTGAGATTTTTTTTTCAAATAAATATCTTTACTGAACTTAAGATCAGAGTTAATTTCCAGATAATTTCCAGATACTTAGCCAACAAAGGCATTTCACATCGAAATCCATCTCACTGTGTGTCTAGAGCACCCATAAAAAGAGCCAAGACCTCTGTGAGTTTCTCATCAGTAGCCAAGGTCTCCACTTTCTATGCCTCTGCTTCTCAGGCAAACTTGAGAGCTGATAGTGCAGGAGCAGGAGGGGAAGAAGCATTTCCTGGTGACCGTGTGCTAACCCACAAAGACTGCAGGGCAGTAAGGAATATGCCTATATCTACAGAAAGTTTGCCACAGATTTCACTCAGGACCAGGATTTTACCCATGGCCTGTCAAGCTCTTGTCTGGCTTGTGGACTGAGTGCTTTTGGAGCACATTTGCCCAGCATGAATGACCAAGTCAGCAACATGCTGCTGCCAGCTCAGCCATGGCAGCTACCTGGGAATGCGGGCTGAGCTGCTTTTCTGTGTAAAAATAGGACAGGTAAAAGCAAAGGTACTATGATGCTAACGCAGCTTATTTCACTTTTACCCATAGCTTTGAATGCAGCCAATTACTGCTAGTGAAAAGCAACTTTATCACCTCCATTTGACTTTTTTTTTTTTTCTTCTAATGCAGATATCTACAGCTTTGTGTTATTGCCTTAATTCTGGAGATGAGAAAGGATAACAAAGAAGGAATGTCACTTTTTCCCGATGATACAGCCATTGTCAGACCCATGAGGGGGTCTCTGAAATGCCTTGCTCTTAGTCTTGTTCTCATTCCTCTGGGTTACAAAGACGTGACAGATACAGTACATGTTCTGTTCTTACTCTGCATAGCAAAATCAGACAATTAGGAAGACTCTTTGAACATGAAAACTGAAGACTGAATAATCCAGACATGTACTTTCTGCTGTTTTCTTTATTTTTTAATGAAAAAAGTGTTTATTTAAACTCTGAGATAAACCCTGTCTTTCTGTCACCAGGTTAAATCTGATTTGATTTCCTCAATTCTTCTCTGTAAAGGCTTTTTTTCTCAGCTTGTATTACATTGGATAACAGTAGAATTACCATCACATAATGTTAGTCTAAAAATACATGTACCATTATTATTATCAAATAGAGATAAGTGTGCGTTGCCAAGTAGAAAGAAAGCTGTGAAATATAATGCCATGTACAAGTATTTTTTTCATGGTCTTCCAGAACATGAAGGATAGACATAGGCTGCCAGATACTCAGCTCTGATGGATAAATGCAACTGTGGTTTCCATAGCTATACAAGGTTTTCTATAGCACCCTTCACCATGGTATCTAAGCATCTGTTGCTGCTGCTGCACACTTTAGTCTGTGGTGTACTGAGGAGAATTAACTGAAATAAATAAATAGAAGGTCCTTGAGCCTGACCATCCATTGTGTGGAGTGACTTGGGCCAGCTTCACTTTTCAAAAGGGGTTGCTTGTTACTTTGTCTTTTCACAACTCCCCAGTTGCTAAGGTGACACCTTACTGTAAGTGCATCTTCTTGTTTTGGTGCTACCTTACTGTAAGTGCATCTCTCGTGCTGTGGTCCAGTGGCTCAGCTGGTGCCTATTCCACAGTCTTGGGCACACAGCTGTTCAGGACATGACCACTGGGCATGATGGAGACCACAAACAGGATCCTCAGCTATACACCAAACCAGGCTGCTCCTTTTGATCTCACTGGAGGCTTCAGGACTGGTGGATCCCAAGACCCTGCCCACTTCTTTTGCTATATGCCAGACAGGTTTTCTGGCAGAGAGCGGTCACATGAAGACACTTCTTCCTCTGGGAGGATGATCATTCTGCTTAAAGGGAGGCAAGCCTCACATGCATGGGGTCCAACATTTGGACATGTTGGACCTCATGCATTGGACATTGTATTGGTCCAACATGTTGGACCAATGCAATACTGATGAGATATTTGTAAAGTGATAAAAGGAAAGTATCAAACCTCAGACAGACCCACCATGCAAAGCCACTGGAAATGCACACATAGAATTTCGAGTCTGGCATCAGTTTTAGAGGCTTTCTTTCCTGGTCTTTTTAGCTGAAGACCTCTTAAGCAATTGTCAGGCTTTTATCCTGTCTGCACTATAGGAAGTCTAGGTCTTGGGAACTCTATTTTCCCTATGCAGTTGAGATCCTTCTTTGGAGATTTATTCAGATTTTTCTTTTGTCCAGAAGATTTCCTTTATCTTTAATCAGGGAGGTTTACCAGACAGTTTGTCCTCTCCATTTTAACAACACAAGTATTTCTTGGGGATGGTCTGATGCAGTTTTTATTGGCTCAAATATTAAATAATTGTTGTGCTATCTCATCTTTGGCTATACCTTGTGATGATGCAGATGCTCTCTGTACTTGGAAAGTGGTATCTGAACTCAGAGCAAAGTCTTCCTTTAATGCAATCCATATTTTGTATAAGAAAACGTACATTGACAACCCTACTTTATGCATTCGTATAAAGAGAATCATGGGTGCAAATTTATAACTCAGCTTTGCCTGAGACCAGATACAAGAGTAACTAATAATTTTGAGGCAGTAACAGGGTCTGAAGTAACCTGGTTCACAGGTCTTTGAGAGGGATTTAATACACCTCTGAATGAAGATGCTAGGATCAGGTCTTGGAAGGAGTATAGCCATGTCTGTACCTCACTGTATAGCTTGTATAGAACTGGGACAGAGGTAAGAAGCCTTTCCTCAGGTCACAATTTCACATATGTTTTCAGACTAAGACCAGCACTGCTACTAATGAAGCAGTCCCACCATCCCCTAGCGCCTCTTCCTTTGCCCACACTCTACTTTTTCTTGAGCTGGCACAAACCTTTGCACCAAAATGGTTCAAAGAAGTGACAAAGCCAAAACTTAACTCATACGGACACTTCATGTTAAATATGCCTGGTGCTCTGCTCCAGTTCATGGCACAACACTTGTGCTTAAGGAAGGAGATGGCATCCGGCAAGAATCTTACAGCTGGGACTGGAAAGCATCACTTCACCTGACAGGAGCCCTGGCTAATTCCTGGTTTAAGGGAATCATGAAATTGTGGCATTAAGGTTTAGCTTGTGAGTGCTGAAACAGGTAGGGTACTGACCCCACTAATTGCTAAGCCAGGTCAGCTGTTTCCTCTATAAACTCTGTTGTGAGAATCCATTTTACTATGGACCTGTCACATAACCTGTCTTGAGACCCAGTGCTCCAGTCTTTTCATCCATGGCTTGCAAAATAGCTGCAGGACTTCAGGGGACAGTTACTTAACCAGCCCTTTCAGAAGGACAACCATTTTAGTGGGGGAAAATTACAGCAGGCATTTGTAGTACCAGGTTTTTTAGCTGACCTATTTCCTCCAGTTTTCTCAGCACATTGTCACTGGTTAAATAAAGCCTCATTAAAAGAGCTGGCCCCTCTTTCTGATTGCAATGTTAAATTTTGTATTCATGGGTTCCTTTACTCTTTTCTGCAGTTCCTAAAAAAATCTGGCTGAATTTGAGGCAGGGAAGGGAAATCTGAAATGCTCCCTCTTAGTCTACATTAACAAAAACTGTAAAAATCAGATTCTAAAACTTTGTCTACAAACTCAGATGTTTGAGAAAAGCCTGGAGCCTCTGCTTACAGTCGAGTGGGTGGATGTCCTGCAAGAGCAGCAATTATTGTACAATAAACCAGTCAACATGTCTTGTGTAAGTAGCATGAGTCTTTATTATAGGAATATCTATGGTGCTGACAGATCAGGCCAAGAAAGCCACCCTTCACACACACGCACGCACGCATGAGCAGACATGAGGGGTAAGAGGATGCACTAAAATAGCACCCCTCAGCCCCAGCTGAAATCATGCTGCCTTTTCTTTTACTGACCACCCACCACGAGGCTGGAGATGTCTGGTTTTGTGGGATGGATGGAAAGGGGACCCAAGAAACAGATTCCCTTCCCCACCCTCTGCCTGCCTCATGCAGAGACCAGCCATGGGCTGTGAGCAGGGGGGCTGTGGCCCGTGCCTGAGGTCTCCCCGTGCCACTTCAGCATTTGCACAAAAAGCTGTCGATAGCTGCAACATCCTCTCCATCCATGTACATAGTACTCGCATCCCCTCGTTTGCTAATGGGAGGGGGCAGACTCCCTGTTCGCCACTTGAAATCTCAGTTGAAACTTGAAAAGAAAATGAGTGGGAGAGAGAGAGAGACAGTGATACAAATTGGCATTTAAATTTGTCAATTAAATCTGCAAAGATTCACTACCTTGGATTTTTGCTGTATCACTCCCCAGTTATGCTCTTTCAATGCCTCTGTCCTGTTTCCTCCTGCAGGTTTTGCAACAGCCTCCTGTACGCATGCTGCCTTGCAGAGCACCACAGATAATTTTCTGTTTTTATTAGCTTTCCAAAAACACATGGACTGGGCTCCTTCACTTCAGCCCTCTTAAAGTTTAATAGGGTGTCTATTGTAAAGCTAACTTTTTCATTCATTTGCTCATACAGGGAATATTTCCTTTGAACAGCAGGCATGTTCTGCTAGAAAAATCCCCCTGGGAAAATATGAAGCTTTGAGAAATGTTCTGTCCTCCCTCAAAGAGGTCCCTTCTGAACACAGACAACTTCTACTGCTATTTAAGTATCAATAAACCCCCTCTGCTGTACCAGTATCTGCTGAAGTACTAAGCTCTGCAGCAATCCATAACTTCCAGTGAAATGTAAGCAATTAACCTGATTTTAATGTTACACAGGTATGTTACCAACAGTCATCTGTAATTCTTTAACATTCTTCTCAGTGTAAATCACCTCAGAGGCAGGGCAGCCCCTTTCCTAAGGAATTTCAATGAATGCTGAGTTAAAGGCCAATGAGCAGAGAAATAACTTTTAAAAGAAAAATATATCTCGAGATTTTTCAGTAAAAAAAAAACAAGCAAGGTGAAACCTACATTTTAATTTAATTCAAAGTGTAAAAAGTCTTGGTAATATGGCTGCCCAAGACAAAGATTACAAAGAAAATCTTTGTGGGATATATTTAAGCTAACTAAATTTCTTAGGATTGCACATGATTAACCAAGTATTTCTGCAGATTTGAAGTTTGAAATGCACTTTTACGTTTGAACCCAAATGGTTCAGTTGCTCAGAGACCACACAGGTGCATGGGCTACAAGTGGGCGCTGGGTAAGAGGACTAAAGCTTCTCTTTCATTTACTTTCCAAATCCAGAATTCAGGCTTCTGCATTTAGAATCAAAACCTGAAAAGCGTTCTACATGTCTGGGGTCTCCCATGTACAATGCCACGCACGTGTTTGCAGCAGCAGCACATGAATTCCCACTGTATGCACCGTTCCTCTCCCATTGAAGCTATCCCCAAGTATCTCTCTTGCAATGGGAACAGAGTAGGCCAACCTCTATTTCCAGTGTCACCCTGGCAACCGCTTTCCCCTCCATCTGGATGACACAGCAAAGAGATGTTCCTGCCACCTCTCAGGTTTAACACAAGCCTCACAGCTGCTGGGGATGTCTCACAGCCCCATCTCTGGAGATTGGAGAATATCTTTCCCCACACCTCCCTTTTGAAACTGTTGAGTATTTAGCTTTCACACAAAGGAAAACAAGAAAATATGGCCACACAAAGGAAAACAAGAAAATATGGCCTAGTTATACTTGAAAAAAATCAGAAATCGATAAGATTAATTTTTTTTTTTTTGTAATTCTGAGTTTATATCTGGATACTAGGATGTCTGAGGTTTATCTCTGGATACGAGGATGCCTGAGGTTAGCAATTTAGCCCAGAAATTTGACTTTGTATTTCTGCAGCTGATAAGTGGAATAGACTTTCCATAGATTTTATTGGAGCACCTATATGGAAGCCATATTGTCTAGCCAGCACAAATATCGAGAGCAGTG